TTCACATGGAGGTTGGTCGCCTTTTAATTTGGAGTTGGTTGCCTTGAATGCGGTTGATCGCCTTATTGTAAGTAGGTTACCTTTGAATGGAGTTGCCTTTCCATTTTGGAGTTGGTAGCCTTTGAATGGAGTTGGTCTTTCAATTTGGAGTTAGTGGCCTTTGAATGGAGGTTGGTCGCCTTTCAATTTGGAGTTAGTGCCTTTGAATGGAGGTTGGTCACTTTCAATTTGGAGTTGGTCGAATGGGGGTTGCCTTTCAATTTGGAGTTGGTAGCCTTTGAATTTGAATTTGGAGTTGGTTGCCTTTGAAAGGGGGTTGGTCGCCTTTCAATTTAGAGTTGGTCGCCTTTGAATGAGGGATGGTCGCCTTTCAAATTGTTGTTGGTTGCCTTTAAATGGGGGTTGGTCGCCTTTTAATTTGGAGTTCGTTGCCTTTGAATGGGGGTTGGTCGCCTTTCAATTTGGAGTTCGCCTTTGAATGGATGTTGGTCGCCTTTCTATTTGGAGTTGGTCATTTTTCAAGGGTGCGTGCTACAGCAGCACCCGGCAAGTAAGTGGTCGGCCAACCCTTGACCCTTGGGTTCAGAACCTTCACATTGTTCACAGCAGCAGTCCGTCAGCCCACCTTCAGCTGACCTCTTCTGCAGCACATCTGTGTATGTGCTCACAGCAGCAATCGGTCTGCCCAAATTTTTTGAAACGATCCAAACTTCAACTGCTTTGTTCTGCACCAGACATGTGTGTGTGTGTGTGTGTCTTCAGAAACACACATGTGTATGCCCACAGCAGCAGTTGGTCGGCCACCCCTGGACCTGACCCTTGGGTGCTACCCTCAGTTGTTTTATTGTGCAACACATGTGTGTGTGTGCTCACAGCAGCAACTGGCTTCTTCGTTGGAGTATTTATTCTGCAACACAAACGTGTGTGTTCACAGCTGCATTGGTCGGTCATTTTGTTTTGGGCAAATTCTTGTGCAACACATGTGTGTGTTTGCTCACAGCAGCACTCGGTCTGCCAAAGCTTTTAACATGAACGCAGCTTCAATGGAATTGTTCTGCACCAGACATGTGCATATTCAGAAACACACCAGTGTATGCCCACAGCAGCAGTTGGTCGGCCAACAGTCGAATCTTGGGTGCTCCCTTCGATTGACTTCTTCTGCAACACACATGTGTGTTTGTGCTAAGACCAAGAATTGTTTGCCAAAGTTGCTGAATGCTCAGAACCTGCACTTGACCTTTTCGTTGGGTTAATTTGCAACACATGTGTGTTCACAGCAGCAATTGGTCGGTCAATCTTCTGTTCACTTCCTTTGCAAACCCATGTGTGTGTGTGTGCTCACAGCAGCGATCGGCCTGCCCAAGTTGTTGAGATGATTTAAGTTCAATGGACTTGTTCTGCACCAGACATGTGTGTATTCAGAAACACACATGTGTATGCCCACAGCAGCAATTGGTCGGCCAGCCCTTGACCCTTTAGTGCAACCCAATAATGGAGGGAGGTTTTTTTTGTAACAAACATTTGTGTGTGCTAACTGCTAACCGCAGCAATTGGCCTGCCAAAAGTTGCTGAATGTTCAGAACCTACACTTAACTTCATCGTTGGATTTTGCTGCAACACCATGTGTGTGTGTTCACAGCAGCAATTGGTCGGCCAGCCTCAGGTGATCTCTTCGGCAACACATGTGTGTGTGTGTGCTCACAGCAGCAGTCGGTCTGCGAAAATTCTTTAAATGATCCAAGCTTCAACTGACTTGTTCTGCACCAGACACGTGTGTATTCAGGGACACACACATGTGTGTGCCCACAGCAATAGCTCGGCCAACTTGACTTCTTCTGCAACGCACACATGTTTTGCCAAACTTGTTGAAGGTTCAGAACCTTCACATGACTTCTTGATTGGAGTATTCTGCAGCACACACGTGTGTGTGTTCACAGCGACAATTGGTGGGCCAACCCTCAGCGGATTTCTTCTGCAGCACGTGTGTGTGTGTGTGCTCACTGCAGCAGTCGGTCTGCCAAAGTTTTTAAAATGATCGAAGCTTCACTTGATCTGTTCTGCACCGGACATGTGTGCATTCAGAAACACACATGTGTATGCTCACAGCAGCAATTGGTAAGCCAACCCTTGACGTTTGGGTGCAGCCCTCAGTTGGTTTCTTCTTCTGCAACACACATGTGTGTGTGCCCACCGCAGCAGTTGTTTTGTCAAAGTCGTTGAATGTTCAGAACCTTCACATGACTTCATGTTTGAAATATTCTGCAACACCATGTGTGTGTGTGTTCACAGCAGCAGTTCGTCGGCCAACTTTAGGTGATCTCTTCGGCAAGACATGTGTGTGTGTGTGTGTGCTCACAGCAGCAGTCGGTCTGCGAAAATTCTTTAAATGATCCAAGCTTCAACTGACTTGTCTTGCGCCAGACACGTGTGTATTCAGGGACACACATGTGTGTGCCCACAGCAATAGCTCGGCCAACTTGACTTCTTCTGCAACACACACATGTTTTGCCAAACTTGTTGAAGGTTCATGTTTGAATTATTCTGCAACACCATGTGTGTGTGTGTGTTCACAGCAGCAGTTCGTCGGCCAACTTTAGGTGATCTCTTCGGCAAGACATGTGTGTGTGTGCTCACAGCAGCAGTCGGTCTGCGAAAATTCTTAAATGATCCCAGCTTGAATTGCCTTGTTCTGGGCCAGACATGTGACAGCAATTGGTCTGCCCTTGACCCTTGGGTGCCACCATCAAATGATTTCTTCTGCAACACACATATGTGTGTGCTCGCGGCAGCAACTGGTCTGCCAAAGTTGCTGAATGCTCAGAAACTTCATTTGACTTTTTCATTGAATATTTTGCAACACCATGTGTGTATTCACAGCAGCAATTGGTCGGCCAACCTTCAGTTGACTTATTCTGCAACACATGTGTGTACGTGCTTACAGCAGCACCCGGCAAGTAAGTGGTCGGCCAACCCTTGACCCTTGGGTTCAGAACCTTCACATTGTTCACAGCAGCAGTCCGTCAGCCCACCTTCAGCTGACCTCTTCTGCAGCACATCTGTGTATGTGCTCACAGCAGCAATCGGTCTGCCCAAATTTTTTGAAACGATCCAAACTTCAACTGCTTTGTTCTGCACCAGACATGTGTGTGTGTGTGTCTTCAGAAACACACATGTGTATGCCCACAGCAGCAGTTGGTCGGCCAACCCTGGACCTGACCCTTGGGTGCTACCCTCAGTTGTTTTATTGTGCAACACATGTGTGTGTGTGCTCACAGCAGCAACTGGCTTCTTCGTTGGAGTATTTATTCTGCAACACAAACGTGTGTGTTCACAGCTGCATTGGTCGGTCATTTTGTTTTGGGCAAATTCTTGTGCAACACATGTGTGTGTTTGCTCACAGCAGCACTCGGTCTGCCAAAGCTTTTAACATGAACGCAGCTTCAATGGAATTGTTCTGCACCAGACATGTGCATATTCAGAAACACACCAGTGTATGCCCACAGCAGCAGTTGGTCGGCCAACAGTCGAATCTTGGGTGCTCCCTTCGATTGACTTCTTCTGCAACACACATGTGTGTTTGTGCTCAGACCAAGAATGGTTTGCCAAAGTTGCTGAATGCTCAGAACCTGAACTTGACCTTTTCGTTGGGTTAATTTGCAACACATGTGTGTTCACAGCAGCAATTGGTCGGTCAATCTTCTGTTCACCTCCTTTGCAAACCCATGTGTGTGTGTGTGTGTGTGTGTGTGCTCACAGCAGCGATCGGCCTGCCCAAGTTGTTGAGATGATCTAAATTCAATGGACTTGTTCTGCACCAGACATGTGTGTATTCAGAAAAACACATGTGTATGCCCACAGCAGCAATTGGTCGGCCAGCCCTTGACCCTTTAGTGCAACCCAATAATGGAGGGAGGTTTTTTTTGTAACAAGCATTTGTGTGTGCTAACTGCTAACCGCAGCAATTGGCCTGCCAAAAGTTGCTGAATGTTCAGAACCTACACTTAACTTCATCGTTGGATTTTGCTGCAACACCATGTGTGTGTGTTCACAGCAGCAATTGGTCGGCCAGCCTCAGGTGATCTCTTCGGCAACACATGTGTGTGTGTGCTCACAGCAGCAGTCGGTCTGCGAAAATTCTTTAAATGATCCAAGCTTCAACTGACTTGTTCTGCACCAGACACGTGTGTATTCAGGGACACACACATGTGTGTGCCCACAGCAATAGCTCGGCCAACTTGACTTCTTCTGCAACGCACACATGTTTTGCCAAACTTGTTGAAGGTTCAGAACCTTCACATGACTTCTTGATTGGAGTATTCTGCAGCACACACGTGTGTGTGTTCACAGCGACAATTGGTGGGCCAACCCTCAGCGGATTTCTTCTGCAGCACGTGTGTGTGTGTGTGCTCACTGCAGCAGTCGGTCTGCCAAAGTTTTTAAAATGATCGAAGCTTCACTTGATCTGTTCTGCACCGGACATGTGTGCATTCAGAAACACACATGTGTATGCTCACAGCAGCAATTGGTAAGCCAACCCTTGACGTTTGGGTGCAGCCCTCAGTTGGTTTCTTCTTCTGCAACACACATGTGTGTGTGCCCACCGCAGCAGTTGTTTTGTCAAAGTCGTTGAATGTTCAGAACCTTCACATGACTTCATGTTGGAAGCTTCGTGCTTCACGACGTCACTTTCTCCATAAAAAGTTTTTCCCCTTCTCTTTCTGTTTTAGTGCCCTTTTTGGGGCGTTGCTAAAACACGAAGTTTGTCTTTGGAGAAGAATGATTTTTCATGTGACATGAACATGCAGTGCTGTCATCATGTTACATGAATCTTGTGAAATTTTGCCCCGTGCTGCCTTGACATCTCAAGTTCTGAAGGTGGGTCAAAATTCTTGCTTTTGGGCCCTGCTAGAGGCTTGTAACGGCGTCCTAGCAGGTCTTGGGCCCCCCTAAGTGCTGGCTTTAGGGCGTCACGACTCCCCGCTTTTCGTGCGGGGCGTCAGATGGACTTCGGTGAAGCGCTCGCTGACGGATCCTCTCATCGCTCCGAGGCCAGTTCCACTAGCACTCGCGAGCTTCACAGCCAGCACATTCACGATCTCCAATTGGAGGTCAACGCCCTGAGGCTTCAGGTTCAAGCCCTCAGGTCCGATTTGCAGACTCTGGAGGAGTCCCTTGCTCGCGTCTGGGTGAACCAGACGGGTCATCATCAACGCCTCTCGTGGCTTGAGGGGTTAATCCAGGGCTTGCGCCGTGCCTGCAGAGTTTTTCTTGAACCGCCCGAGCAGTCTGCTTGAAACGGCTGAAGCTTCGTATGGTGCCTCGGCTGTCCACAGGTGCGACTCCCAAAGCCTCGCCTGCTGCAGCGGGCCCTGCGGCCGCCAACCTGACTGAGGCTGATCCTGATCACTCGGTTTCTGGTCAGGGGGAGGAGCCTAGTGATGATGCAGCCAGTGTCAATGCATGGGGCCTGTTGGCTCCCCTGAGCCCAACTACCCATGCTGCCGTGCCTGAGGAAAGCCAGGATCCCGCCTTGTGGCTGTCGGAGCCTTTTAGTCCCTTTGCTTACGACCCTGTGCACGACCCCAACCTTGGTGACCCTGCCTCGGACTTGGGTTCTTATGATATGGTTCATAGTGGGGAACGGGAAAGGTCTCTTGACCCCGAAGACATTTGGTATGATTCAGTGCGAGATCATTCTTTAGACGCGGTCCTAGTCGAAGGTGACAGAGAGGAGGTCGCAACCAGTGTTGCGGAAGA